CTACAAAATAAAGAAGGTTATTTTTAAAGTGATATTAAGCATATAAATGTAAGTTATTGACAAATGATACAAGATTCTTAAAGCCATCACAAATCCCTTGGATTCACATCTTAACACTTTTTTTAATCCTCCCCAACATTATCTAAAGAATGCAAATTTAGCTTTGCATCTTGTGGATACTGAATATCAAACATAACAATTATTAATAGTATAAACCCTTGTTTAAAAAATCCACAAATGTTAAAACAATATTAGAGAGAGAGAGAGAGAGAGAGAGAGAGAGAGAGAGAGAGAGAGAGAGAGAGAGAGAGAGAGAGAGAGAGAGAGAGAGAGAGAGAGAGAGAGAGAGAGAGAGAGAGAGAGCACCAACATCATATTGAACTCTTAAAGTGATGAACAACTTCAAAATTGTAAATTTGAAACTTGAAGGCTTAGTAAATAATATGGATAACTAAATTATTTTGCTTTAACAACAAAGTGGTGGTAACATAATCACCCTTTAATAGCATTTAAGAAATATGTCTCAAAACCCTAAACATTATTATGGTGAAGTAGTTTATTTCAATTAGTTGTATAAAGTACCATTGCAATGGGATGATATTTATTAAGGATGCTTGTACTCTCTTGCATCAGCATAAACCCATAACTGAACGCAAAATGAAAACTGACTAAGTCAAAACTAAAAAAGTTATCAACACTTAGGATTTGTAAATGCCTACTCAAATCAAATAAAAAAATGACACGAATGATTTCAACAATGCTAGCAATAATGCAATGCAATCAAAAAGAGAATCAACAGACAATGGTCGTGGCCGTTTATGTATGAAGCCTGGAGAAAAAAGTCCTGAGTAAGCAAGAGTGAACGAAATGGAGACTTTGTTTATATCTTTGGCACGCTGCAGCACGATTGGCCTTTGCCACAAGCGTTCTTGCAGTGCGAGTGTGTTTGATCCTGCTGGGTATGGTCATGGCTATGGTGGCGATGGAGCTGGTGCTTTTCAGCGGCATGCTCGTGATCTGAGCACTGTGTTCTTTCAGCGTGATCGTCGTCCTTGGAGGACTGTTTACTACTGTGCTGATCGTGGTCGTGATCCTTGCAATTCTTTCCATGGCGATGGTGGTTGCCCGACGATCTCGTCTTCCCTGTTCCACGGAGCAAGAGCGTGCTGTTTGAGATCACCAGCAAGCACGCCCCGACGTCTACCAGGACAGCCATCCACAGGTAGCCATAGCCAGCGAACGAGAGTGCCAGCATTGCGGCTTTGAGGCCTACCGAGATGACAACGTTCTGTATAACTTTGGTGCGGACTCTCCTTCCCAGGCTCACCACCAAGCCCAGCTTCCGGAGATCGTCGGTCATCAGGAAAACGTCCGATGTCTCCATTGCCACTGCTGATCCGGCTAGACCCATGGCGAATCCTACGTCCGCTGCTGCTAAAGCCGGGGCATCGTTTATCCCATCCCCTATCATTCCCGTCACACCGGCGTTTTCTTTCAGCTCTTGGATGATTCTGACTTTGTCCTGAGGGAGAAGACCGGCGTGCACAGTGACTCCTCCCAACTGTAGTGGAGATAGTTCAAGTGACCCCTCGAAGATACAAGACGAAATCGAAGCTTACTTTGCTCTGGACGTCCTGGGCCGTCTCATTGTTATCCCCAGTCAACATATGAATCTGGACGTTCAGACGCTGCCATAAACAAAAGACAGCTTGTGAGCAAACACGGAAAAAAAGCTCAAAGGTAAACCTTTAGACTCCGCACTGCTTCTGCTGCTTCCTCCCGTACATGATCCTCGAGGCTGAAAACTGCCAGGAGCTGGTGATCCTTTCCAACCCAGCCGATGGTTGCTGTTTGAGTCGCTAGCTTCGTAATGGCTGGAGAAAAACTAACAGTTAGATTACAAGTCCACGGAAAGAGGAGCCGATAGAACCTGTATTGCTCCAGCCAAGGCGAGATGCTAATCGCGCGTTACCAATCTCTATCAAGTGCCCATCCACAACGGCGGACACACCTTCGCCTTCAATGATCTGAAAGTCTGTAACGGACTTCGATGGAACAACATCTTGTAAGCTAGCGTACGTGACGAGTGCAGCGGCCATTGGATGGCTCGATCTACTTTCAACACTCGCCAACCTGCGCAACAAGAAACACTATATCAGCAACACACAGCAGGAAAATCAAACGTACCAATACAAGATTTGTTGCAGATCTTCGGTTTCACCAACAGCCACAACTTCGGAAACGCGGAAGTGTCCCTCTGTCAGTGTTCCCGTCTTGTCCATAGCTAAGCATTTGATCTTGGCCAGGATTTCAAGGTAGCTTCCACCCTTGATCACGACTCCAAGTCTTGCTGCGTGTTGTATTCCGCAGGCGACTGCGACGGGCGTCGAAAGGACTAAAGCACACGGGCAAGCCACAACGAGCAGAACGAGAGCTAAGTACAGCCAGTGCTTCTCATTGCGAACGTGCGCTATCAACGGAATGAGTGCCAGACCAAGAGCTGTCGCCACCAAAACTGTCGCGGAGCAACGCTGTATTAGCAATGGCACAGAGATTTTGTCGAGTTACCAGGAGTGTAGAATTTTGCAAACTTCTCCACAAGCTGCTCGAAGTGAGATCGTTTTGCTTGAGCTTCCTCCACGAGTTTGATCATTCTTGAGACAGCCGAGTCTTCAGCAAGTGCAGTGGTTTGCACGGTGATGTAGCCTGCAGACATGGATGACGTTAGTTTCGAAAGTGAACCGTAAGAATAAATCCTCGTACCAGCCAAATTCACTGTTCCAGCCCAAACCTCGCTTCCGCAAGTCTTCTCGACAGGTTTTGATTCACCAGTCAAGCTGCTTTCATCCAAAGAGCACCCTCCCGACAGGATAGTCCCGTCTACGGGAATCATCTCCCCAGCTTTGACAGCAATTGATGATCCAAGTTTCACTTCGTCAACGGAGACCATCGCCCCGGTTTCGGCAAGGATGGCGTTCCGAGGGACATCCAGACCGGACGCCAGTGCGGAACGCGCCTGAGACACCACGACGAGTGTCATAAAGAGCAAGGACAAACAAAACGAAAAACAAGAACAGCTTACCTGCTCGCTCGATCGTCCTTCCAGCCACTCAGCTAGAGTAAACAGAAATACGATCGATCCAGCTTCAATGTAGTCAGCTAGAGCAATAGCGCCGCCGACTGATCTAACGTTTCATCATCAGACACTGGAAAGCCTGCTTTCCTGTCAACTCATCGTACCTGCTATGAGCATAAGAATGTTAATGTCTAGAATCCAGCGTCTTAGAGATGCTATGCTCCGCATAAGAATCGGCGGTATACCAACAGCCACGGCTCCGATAGCCATCCATTTCAAAGGGTTCCAGAAGTGTTTGAAAAAGGATACAAGCAGTAGAATACCGCAGCAAATGGTCCACGGACTGGGCCACTTGTTGGCCTTCTTCAGCTCTCCACGACGATGTAAACTTGCGTCTAGCCTGGCTTCGTTGAGTGCTTTGACTGGAGAAAGACAAGAATGAAGGATGAGAAGAAAACAGAGTAAGCACGGAAGATAAAGCTGTCTACCTAGACGTCCTTCAGGTGTCAAGAGCTTGTCGTGAACAACTGTCACACTGCGCGACGTGTAGTTCACCGAGACCTCCTTGACACCGGGTAAAGGCTCCAAGATTTTCCTGACAAGAGGAACCTCCGAGGGGCAGCAAAGACCCATCACGCTCAACACAGTCCGCGTAACTTGCTGGAAGTTCTCTGGAATGCTTAGGATGTTCTCGGCAAGCCTGGGCGAGTGTACCACCGCATCGTCCTCCTCAGCCAGAATCTCGTAACCTCTGCCGTCGGTGGTCTGGTAGCTGAAGATATCCATCAGCTGCTGCTTCGGCCGCCGCTTGAGCTTTCCCAGCGACTCTCCCACCTTGACTAGGCGGCCGTGCTCGTACTGGGAATCCCCGGCATCTCGGACGAGCGCGTAGGATCCATCCTGCTTGGGCACCAGGAAGTCGTAGTGATCACCGTGAGGGATCTGGTTGTGGCCACAGTCGTCGTCGTGCTTGTGCTCGTCCCTGTGCGATGAAGTGAGCTCGTTCCAAGACATGGGGAGAGCCCAGCATGCCTCCTCCACGCACTGCCACCCAAGAGCAAGCCTGTCAATCGTCCAGCCACGCCAATTCCATACCTGCTCGAGCAGAACATCCTCGGTGGTGTCCCCGTGATGGACATGAGCGTGGACGTGTTGGCTCTCCTTGAGGCAGCAGCGCTCGGACTCGGGGAGAGGCGCCCAGGTCCCCGTGTGGTGATCCACAAAGCAGATCCTTCCCTTGTCCGGGACTGCCACATACGTGATGGCGTCGCCCTCGAGGATGAGGAGATGATCGCCCTCCTTGTGCTCCTTGTGCTCCTGGTGCTCCTCCTGTGCACGGGGATGAAATCGCAGAGCGCGGAAAGGAGGTGTACCTGATGCATGATCGATCGCCCCGACGATACAATGCAGGACGAAGCAAGAATCTCTCTCGCGGCGGTCACGGCGCCGATCGATCCACTGCTCCGATGGATGAAACCCTAGCACGTCTTCTTTCCTCCTCTCACCCAAAATCAAAGCTCACACCACATTGTGGGAGAGAGGGAAGGCTGTTATATATTTTTGAGGCCATCGGATCGGCATATGCTGTATCTGGTCCTTCAAAAATATTTGGACCGAAGTGCATTCCTGTATCAGTGGACTTTAATTAAAGTATTGGTAAGTTCCTAAGTAAGTTCTTGTGGTGCTTGTTCTTTACAGGTGCCGTGTGGCATCGCATCCTAAAATTTGCAAGAAAGCCACGCAAGAAGTCTAGATTACGTGTCAACTATAAATGAAATCGTAAATTTGGAATTTGTCAGCAAACGTTGTCAATATCCTTAACGTGTAGTAAAAAGCAAAACACCAGGTGGCGGCTTCAGTTTGGGTAACAGTGCTAAAATCTGGGCATTTTCCTATTGGGGTGTTGAAAGTAATGTTCTAATACTTCGTTAAGGTTATTTTTCTGAGTTTAGAATTTGTGATTTAGAAAAGTAAAAATAAATCAGCTTGCAAGCACCGCTTTTTTGAAAACGCTGAATTATTTCCAGAGTTTCTTTGATGAACCGGACTCCTCACGACCCTGCCATTTTGGAACTCACTCAAGACATAAGATTACACACTGCTTTTACTGAGACATTATCTAAACTCACGCAACGATCCTCTCTCATGGAGATGCTTGGACTAGTGGGATCGTGCATTGTTTCTTCGTGCTCAATCCACAGGAACTTCCACCTCCATTTTAAGATTTGCCTTGACAAGCACCTAGGGGACACAAAGGCGGCAAAGCTATGTGAACTTAAGAAGCTTGGGTACTTACCTTCACGAAGTCTTCGTAAGTGAGCATGCAGCCAGATGAGAACCCTGCTTGATCCAGCGCTTGGATCACGACTTGCTAGGCAAACAGGAGAAAGCTGTGAAACGACAGAGAAGGAAGCGCTTGCTTTTACCTCTCGCTGCTTCTCGGTGAGGAAAGAACCAGAAAGATCACGAAGGACTCCCAATATGTCACTTGTTGTCACTTTCCCATCGCCATCGGAATCATACACCTTAAAAATGACTGAAAAAGAAACACCATAAGGCGATGGGAAAAGCGGAAGGAGTTCCTTACACTCCATCTTCTCCTTGAAGCTGGCTCGGGGACTGAATGCCGACAGCAGCAGAACAAATTCCTTGAAATTCACGCCCTCGAGTATCCTGAGGAGTCTCTGGAAAAATCAAAGGCATGGAGGAGATCACGAAAAAGCTAGAAAGAGCCATTCACCTGAGCTAGAGGATTCAATGCAAACTCGGGAACTGCCATGAACTCGTCCTCGAGGATGAAGCCTTTGCCAGAGCGATCCAAAATGCAAAACCTTTCGTACAAAGAGATGATTTCTCTCTGCGAGACTGGAGAGAAAAAAGACATTGTTTCTGGAGCCCAGCTAATTGATCGAAGAACACTTACAGATTCCTTTGCAGTGGCTCTGGACCTCCTCAATATCGTACTGCGTGAGCATGGACGATGTGTTGCCCATTTTTTGTCCCTTCCTCACCAATGCATTGCTGAAGAACCCTAAAGTAAAACATAAAAGAGAAAAAAAATGAGAGGAGCGGAAGAAGCGAGGAGAAACTACCCAACTTCCAAGGTGCTCAAGGTTTGCATCGTTGGTCCAAAATGCAGCGGCAAGACGGCGTTGGCGAGAGCCCTGGCTGGAGCGCCATGGGAATCTGGGCGACGATACACACCCACCGTGGGAGTCAGGTAAAGAAAAACCGTGCTGATCGAGAGAGCTTACCGTGACTTGTTTCGTTGTTCCTTAGAATCCAGGAACTCTCGATCAATAAAAACACAACTTTGGAGCTCTGGGACTGTTCTGGAGACGCAAGGTAATCCTCGTCACCCTGCAAACGTACTTTCAGTCTGATTACTTTTTTTTGTGTAGATATGAAGCTTACCATCCAGCAGTAGCCAGCAACGCAGAAGGGGTTATCCTTGTTTACACCTTGTTCCAACCAAAGCAGAAGCTAGAACTGGAGAAATGGTAGTTTACACGTCAAACGAATTATGCAACTGAAAACTTTCATGTAACAGGTACCACGATTTCGCTGCTGCAAACCATCTGCCAGCGTCCGTGTGTCCGATAATCGGCGTTGATACGGGGGTGAACAATTCCAAAGCATCTGGTAAGGCATCTGGTAAGATATCAGTGCACTCTCAAACTCAAACTCTATAACAAGTACCTTGCAGCGATGGAAGGCCGGATTGCGGCTCTTCCACACATGGTATTGGTGCTCAAAAATCCAGAGGCAAATGCGCAGCTGCTCCATGTACTGGATGACCTCCTGCAGAACATTCTTAAACGCAAGAGATCCCAGGAATGAAGTCGAGAATCGAGAAAGCGAGAGTCGTTAATTACAGCGCCGGATACAAGTGTCAGAACCAGTCACGGAAGGAATGTAGCTACGCACGCACATATACGGTGAAACCTTTGATATCCGGCAGGAAGAGAGTAAATTGCGGTGTTTAAGTCCTCCTCTGTAATAACACTCTGTGTTCTCCTTGTCGAGTCCACAAGTACCTCACAAGGCATGATGGCTTTTGGATATTGCCCACTGAGAGACACAGAACATCAATTTAAAAAACATGCTAAGAAGAGCTTACGTGCAGAGTGATTGCAACGAGAAAACAAGTGTTATCTTCAGGCGCAATCTATAGTTCATGAAGTCGTATTGCAAACATATCCCGTGGTCTGAAAAATGGAGGATTCATAAAATGAGTTTAATAGAATCAGCAAACGAACCTTTATTGAGCGTGAAAAGAACCGAATCCAAGCACCGATGATGTGCTCGACAATCTCTAGCCTCCGTGGCGACTTGGATCAAGTTCGTAACCAGATCGCTGCTTTGCTATAACAATTAAAAAGACAATGAGAAAAACATACAGAGTGAATCAAAACAACCCATACCTGCATGGCTGCTGGAAGGCTTTTAAGCTGCTTAACTCGGTGCTTCTCAGCAGGTAGCAACGACTGAAACAGAAGCGCCGAATTCATACGAGGAAATCCCTGTAAAACTTTCATCCATGTGAGTAAAGAACGTTGAACCGCAAGTCCAAATAACCTTTTCAATGAAGTTCAAATCAGGTGTTAATTGGATCCACGCAGAGGAAGCTGATCCCTTTCCTTCAATGGTTATGCTGTTGCAGTCTTTAGCATGAACAGGAAAAAAACGCTACGAAATAATACCTTTGGTTCACCCTGTAGCCGTGGCTTATATCAAGCTTATAACTGTCTCGCTCGCTGACGAGTCGGGTAATGTGCCAGCCCTGTTATGAAGCACTAAGAAAAAAAAAGCTCTTTATACAGTAGATCTAACCTGTATTTTGTGAATCATTCGACGTTTGAAGTGCTCCATCTTGCACGACTCCGACGTCAGTGAAAACACTCGTTTCTGGTCTTCCAGTTCTTTCATGATTGCTTTCAGTTGTTCGTTCTTATCGTGCATTTCCTGTAATTCATTTTTCTTCAGAAGAAGCCAAAAAAACTAGCAGAAGACAATACCTGGAGTTCGCTTCGCAACTCAGCAAGTTCCTTCTCCTGGTCGACAGCGGGCAACTTGGAATTCATTTGGATGTTAGGGCTCGCCACAGCGGAAGGATCTTGAAGAGGAACTTGAGCTGTAACCGTACCCTTGAGCTCTTCCGGCGCTATTGACGTCGGAAACGGTGGACTCGAAGGCACTTGAGGAGTGACTGTGATGTCCTGGTGTTGCTCTGGTGCGGTTGCTTTTACAGGAGATAATGTACGTGCAGTCACTTGGGGTGTTACCGTGATGTCTTGGAGCTTCTTCGGTGTGGTGGATCTCTCAGGAATTGGTGGACTTTGAGGTAGAGTGATGCCTTCGAGCTTCTTCGCTGTGATTGCCTTCGCAGGTGATGATGGACTTGGACTTGAAAGTACTTGAGGTACCATGATATCCTGGAGCTTCTTCGGTGGGATTGCTCTCGCAGGAGATGATGGACTCGAAGTGACTTGAGGTACAGTGATGTCCTGGAGCTTCTTCGGTGGGACGGATCTCGCTGAAGATAGTGGACTCCTGTTTTCCTTCCCCTTGAAACGAGGAGAAGCTCTGAAAACTCTCCGACGCTTTTGAGCCAGTGCCCCAGCGTCAACCATCTCCGTGTACTGCATTGACAGGGTCCGATCGAGAGAAACTGGCGGCGAATCTGTTGGCACTGCCTCTGGTGGTCTTCGAGGATTTTGCACCGTGAAGCTCATATCACTTTCCAGTGATCCGGGACGCCTGGAGACCTCCTCTGCTTCAGCCGCTGTGTCATCGTCGTTGAATCGACAGAGTTTAGCTGAAAACGTTGTGCTATCCAACGTGATATCGTCCTCGAGAGAAGGAGATCCCAGGTTGGCTTGAACGATGTGATTGATATCAACTGGGCCAGCAGCCTCCTCATCATCCTCAGATCTACATTCATTGTGGAGCGTCAGTTTTTATCTTCCTAGAAAGCAAACAAACTTACGCGGCGTTGGCGATGGGATTATGGTCTGTGGAGTCTAGAGATTGGCTCCTAGCGGCAAGCCTTGGAGATTTGCGTAGAGGCTGAGAGGCAACCTCCACTACTCCTCCAGGAGGAGTTGCGTACTCATCGTCCCTAGGAAAGACATGGACGGTCTGAATCTCGGCGAAGCTTACTCGTCTGGCCGAAGAGCGCCTCTTCTTCCTCCGGGGAATCGTCGTGTCGTCCTCGAAAACGTCCAGCGTCGGCGTTTCACCGAAGCGTAGCGCCAGATCGAGCGCCGCAGCTGCCATTCTCGGCTACTCCTATTTATTTACCTCGATCTCTGCAGCGGCATTCCGCGCCTCTCCAGCGATCCCACAAACCCTAGCCTCCCCATTTCAAAATTTCCCAACGTCTCTCTTGTTATTGATCCAATGGCTGTAACCTTAATGACGTGTCAAGCATCGAGAGTGCCACGTGGTGCATGGAGGTCTGACGCGTTGAGTACTTGGCCGCCGCCACGTTGGAAGCGAATGGCTGCTAGGTCTCTTCGTTTTTGGCAATTCCAGTGGTTACTTCGCGACCGGCCTCTCTGTTCATCGCGATTTAAAAGGAGCTGGAGAATCAAGGGGAGCGCATGGCTTCATTGACGATGTCTCGCGGCGAAGAATCCATTTCCAGCGGCAGTGGCGGTAGCACTGTGAGCCGGGTTAGCTCCTGGGTGCGCGAGAACAAGCTCAAGACGATCGGTAAGAGCAGTGCGTTGTCTCATCGATGACGATCCAATCGATTATCTCCAGGTACTTTTTGGGGCACCACGCTTGGCTCCTCGATCTTGTGGAATCTGTCCAAGCCACACGAGAAATTGAGTCTCAAATTGCTCCACGCCAGGTAAGAGTTCGATCGATCGCAAGAAAGAAGAAATGTAATCGAATCTTTGCTGCGATTCAGGGTCCACGCGCAAGGAGTGACGCTTATGGCATTGGCCGGAGCTGGATTTCTCGAGTACTTGGATCGCCGCGAGAAGAATAACCTCAAGCTAGCGGCAGCAGCACAAGAGCATTAGCTTCTTCTTCGTTTTAGGGTTCTTCCTTGGAGAATATTCCGTCGGCTTGCGAAAGTAGCAGAATCGTCTCTCGCACAATTTTCTCCGTTAGAAACGATTCTTTTTTAGGCCATGTGTTAGAATATTCGCCCAGTGTAAAGAGTATATTTCAGCCCAACAGAAGAACCGTTCGCGCGCTTAAAAATCCGGGCGTGCGAACGACGTGTTGTTATTGCCTTGGCAGTCGTGGTTAGTTTAATGGACCGGAGGTTCCTGCGAATCATTGACCGATGCGTGGGACCGGTCCTTCCCGACGTGCCGGTTCTTGCAAGGCACGACCCTCCATCGATCATAAAAACCTCCTTGGTGACATGGCCACAATGCGAGCCAGCCGTGGAGCCAATAGCACGCTGACGTATCAGCATGCTGCCACGTGGAAGCTTTCGAGTGGCTTGTGGCTCCGAAAGCAAGCAAGGTTTGGCGCTATGGCGGAGCTCTAGGCTTAAGAGCGATCTTTCCGGCAGGGTAAAATATTTGTCCTAGGGATCGAGAGATTTCGGGGAGGATCGAACGAGCTGCTGGCGCGATCAGTCACCAGGCGCGTCCGCTAGGTCTGGATTTTGAGCTGTGATGTGGAGTTCTTGGGACCTGCATTGGATCGAGCTTGGCAGATTCGCAGTGAATCAGGGCTTCTGTTCAAGATTCTAGCCCTGGAGCGCAGAGTGATGGCTAGGCGTCGAGAATGAGGCCGCGATGGCGAGGTTGGGGAGCATCATCGAGGGTGTGTATGCATCTGGAGCTGCTGCTGACAACGGCTGGAGATCAAAGTCGAAAGATCACGCGCCCGGTGGAGGTAGAGGCATTTCCTTCCTAGTTTTCGTGCTCACTGATCGTTGTTTCTTCGCTTCCTTTTCCCAGCGGCGGCGGAACGTATGAAGGCATTGCATATCAATGCCTACTTCGGCGCCGGGGAGAAGCATCCAAACGCTCTTCGCGATGACCGGCTCGAGTACCCAAGCACTAGCTCCAGCGCGAGCTTGGATTTCGACGACGATGGTGGCTATAGTCCGAGGGAGCCATTTTGGCACCCCGAAGAGAAGCAAGCTCCCAGTGGAGTGTCTCCCGGCTGGCCTTTGAAGCACGAGGGCATGCTGTCCAAGCCATTCTCGGGCACAAAACAAGGAACGCGTATGTGGGAGGAGAAAAGAGAGAAGAGGGAGACTGAGGCCTCTGGTAAGCACTTTGTTTTTTCCGCTTTCACGGGCTTTTTAAAGAACACCTCGAGATGCTCGTTTGCAGAAGTGGAGATGATGAAGGAGAGGTTCGCGAGATTATTGCTGGGCGAGGATATGTCTGGAGGCAGTAAAGGTGTGTGCACTGCACTGGCGATCTCGAATGCCATCACGAACCTTTCTGGTGTGTCTTTTCTTTTTTTTCCTTCTTTTTTCGTATGCGGAGGGTGATTGATTGAGTGGTATTGTCACAGCATCCGTGTTTGGAGAGCTTTGGAGGTTGGAGCCTCTATCCGTGGAGAAGAAGAAAATGTGGCGACGAGAGATGGAATGGATACTGTCTGTTACCGATCACATCGTCGAGCTCGTTCCGACTTGGCAGACATTTCCGGACGGCAGTAGTGTTGAGGTGTGTTTGCTGTTCTTGACGTGTGACGGCGTAAGATCCGGATCTTTGTTTGCAGGTTATGGTCAGTAATCCCCGGGCAGATCTACACATAAATCTACCAGCGTTGCGGAAACTTGATATGATGTTACTGGTAACGAGCTTGTCTTAGTTTGATCGGCAGCTGCTTATAACTAATTCTTCCATACAGGAATGTCTGGATGGTTTCTCAAAGACTGAGTTTTGGTATGTCGACCAGAGTGTCGCTATGTCTGAAGCGGAAGAGCAAGGCACTCCAAGGAAATCGCTACCGAGGCAAGAAGAAAAATGGTGGCTGCCTACGCCAAGAGTTCCCGCTAATGGTCTGTCCGCCGAGTCGAAGAAGCGCCTGCAACATCAGAAGGACAGTATTAATCAGGTCTTGAAAGCTTCAATGGCCATTAACGCACAGGTACTTTCCGAAATGGACGTGCCTGAGGTGTATTGGGAATCTCTTCCAAAGGTAAGCGTCCTCAATTGGAGTTCGCAAATGTAAATGTTTGTGTTTTTTCTTGCAGAATGGGAGATCAAGCTTAGGCGAAGGTTTCTATCGCTGCCTATCTTTCGAGCAATTCTCTCCTGAAGCTCTGCTGGCCACGCTGACCATGGCATCCGAGCACCACATTCTGGAGATCGCCAACCGCGTGGAAGCCGCTATTCATACGTGGAAACGGAAAGTAAGCTCGAGGCATCCTCATACCGATGGAAAGCCCAATGCCAGATCTTCCTGGGGTGGACTTATGAAGGACTTGGTCGGAGACGGCGACCGGCGAGAGACCTTAATAGCCAGAGCCGAAACTCTCCTGCTTTGCTTAAAGCATAAGTTCCCGGGACTACCGCAAACTCTCTTGGACATTCACAAGATCCAGTATAACAAGGTATGCGGCAAGCACATGCTTTTGGTGACGGGCCAATGTTCCTTCTGCAGGACGTCGGACAGTCCATCCTGGAAAGCTATTCGCGTGTTTTGGAAAGCTTGGCGTTCAGCATTATATCGCGTATAGATGACGTCCTCCACATTGATGAGCTTGCAATGACCGCCGATCCAACACCAGCCGAGGATCCAGCACCAAAGATATTTCCCGCAGCTTTAAGCAAGATACCTCCGATTAGAACATCGATTCCTGACACCAAAGGCTTCGGGGATTTCATCAAGGCACCACCGCCAGCAGAAGCAGCTTCGCCCAAGTTCGATCTCCCTGGCAAAGACGAGACCGGATTGAGCCTCACAGCAACGTCGCCATCGCCAAAGTTTGATCGTCCCAGGAAGCCAGAGCCACTCAAGAACTTCTCTTATGCCCGGCATCTCGAGAGCGTGCACAGTCCTCCGGGAAGAGACTAGGAGGAAGGGGGTGGAGGCAGGATAGATTCCTTGGTAGAGTAGGACAAGGACCACTTACAGATACGTCGGGACGATTTATTTACATCACAGGCTCGTGCGAGTCGGCATCTTCTACGTCACGCAGTGCGGGTGTCCTATGTGAGGGACGTGCCTGAGATCCTCGGACGCCGATCCATAGTCGAAGTAAGGCCGGCACTCCAAGTTGTCATCATACTCCCACGCGAACTCGGGGACTTCGAGCTGGTCGGAATCGATGTAGCTCCACATAAACTCGATTCGGGGGACGTAATTCACCTTCGCATAGAAGCTGTGGCACAGGAAGATCACGAAGTTAAGCTTGTGGAACAGGAAAAGAGCTACTTTCGAGATGGAGAAAAGATGAGAAGGGGGGATACAGAGGATTTTGCATTTTGCTCACCCTTCGCTGAGGAACATCCGGCCGAGAGTAGCGAGGAGAAGCCTGGATTGGAGCCCCGGGTGGACGAAGTAGATGGCGTCGATCCCGTGCTTGGACTCCGGTGGCAGCGATTCGTAGAGCCATCTGAGAGTGAGCAAGCCGGGATTGTTGACGCTGTTCTCGACGCCGGTGTGGAAGTAGACGACAACGAAGGAAGGGCCACCGGCCTCCACGCTCAGGAACTTGAGCTTGTGGAGAATGTAGGCGTGGAGCTTGTCCTTGCTAAAGGCAGCGGCTGGAAAGCACGATGGTCAGAACAATTCTAGACGAGCAAAGAGGAAGAGATCTCCAAAGTACCTGGGAAGAACTTGCCAACGATGCGAACGATCCTCCGCCCCTGCCGGTCGACTCCATCCAACTTGAGGAAGTCGAGCTTATCAAACTCGGCAGCCTCTTCACTCGTCGGCTCCATACAGCTCGTCTTCTCGCCTTTACGAGGACTGGCAGGCGCCTGACCCTCGTTGATGTGCCTCAGGACCCAACCGGTCATTGCCAGCGGCTCTTCGCCAATCAAGTTACAAGCTGGAATGTTGAACATCTTATCTACTCAAGACACCTTGACGATGGATCGAAAGATCAGTGGGGAGCCAAGAGGCGGATAAGACCAGCTTATCTATCCACAGGTCGAGGCCGGGAAGGAGGGAAAAAAAAATTCGAGAAGGAAAAGAAAGAAATCAAGCGGAATATCACGACTGGGGACTATTCAGTGGCAGAATGACGTCCTTATCCATGCAATGGACTTTGATTCCCTGTCCAGGATATTCCAGAGCTTTAAAGTTGGCTTACCTGTCAGTGCGGGGCCAGGGACGGTGGATTTTTAGATACCGTGTCTCGTAACGTGGCCTCCTGTTCGAGCAGATTCCTCGGAAGAGTGTCGTATACGTCCGTGAAGAGCTCGGACAATGGAGGTTTGTTCTTCTTCTCGGCTTGGTTCATTGCACTAATCACCTGTTTGTTTCGTATTTTTTGTGTAGAAGAAGCGATGTTGATGGTTGCTTGCGAAGAAATTCAATGTACCTCTTTTCGCGCCGCTCCTCGGAGTTCCTTCTCGTCCTCGACACTCCACCAAGCGTTGCTCTCAAGCCATCTCCGGAAGCGCAGGACCGGGTCGCGGACGCTTCTCCAGTGCGCAATCTCTTCTCCACTCCGGTACTTTGTGGAGTCGTCGGACGTGGAGTGGTGCCCGACGCGATAAGTCATTGCCTGAGATGCTCGAAAGCGACACTGAGTTATAGAATGTGGTCCCTAGAAAGAAAGGCGTGTTGCTCAGAGAATACCTCGATAAGGACGGGTTTGCTTTGTTCCACTGCGAGCTTGCGAGCTGCGCTTACGGCTTTGAAGACTGCCAGCGCGTCGTTTCCGTCAACTCTGATACTCGTCATGCCATAGCCTCGGCCCCTCACCACTATTCCATCGCCTGGAGCATCAAAGTTCAAGAAAAGAAAGAAATATTGTGAAGTTGTTAAAACAAACGCTAGCAATTGGATCGAGTGCTTGCCTTTGTATTGCTCGCATGCTGGAGTGCTTATTGCATAGCCATTGTTCCGGCATACAAACAGGACGGGGGCTTCTAGCACCGCCGCGAAGTTACAAGCAGCATGGAAATCACCCTGTAGAAAAAGGATGGGAAGAGATCAATAAAGCTACTGCGTACGAGTTATTCCACCTCGCTCGATCCACCGTCACCGAAGTAAGTCACGGCACACGCATTTTTCCTGTCCATTTTTAGTCCATAAGCTGCTCCTACGGCGTGAGGAAGTTGCGTCCTGAATCACAGAGAAAGATGACAGAGTCAATCAATAGAGGAAAAAGAACGAGAAGAATTACATACGCTATGGGTGACGAAATTGTGAAGTAATTAAGTTTTTCCGAGCCGTAGTGAATCGGCATTTGCCTACCTTTCCCGTGCCCAGCTTCGTTGCTAAAGCACTGGTTGGCAAACTCGTCAAGCGTAAAACCCCTCCACATTAGCACGCCATGCTCTCTATACTGCCGAGCCAAAGAAGAAGAAAGAAGAAAAATCAGCAAACAAAGCTATGGTGACAACACAAAAACAAGCGATTTGTTTTTCTATCCTCCAAGAATCTAATCCTCACCTGGGGAAAGACAACGTCGTCTTTTGTCAAAGCTGCCGCGGATGCAACGTTGAGCGCTTCCTCGCCTATGTTAGTCAAGTAGAAAGAAATCCGGCCTTGCCTTTGAGCCTCGTAGAAAATGCTATCAAAGGTTTGCAATCGTACCATGGTGTGGTACATCTTCACCGCCAAGGAAGAATCGACCTGGAACCAAAAAGAAACCAATCATTCATACCAAACTATCAAAAAATCGATGTTTCTCCACCCACCAAACCAATCGTCCAATCCAAACTACAAGAAATTTCTTCCCCACATACCTCAGGGATGTCGGATCCGTCGAGAGCACGCCCTAGATCGTCGAGAATCCGGAAGCACGGCACGGCCTCGGCCGCATTGGGCGAGATAAACTCCATCCTCGAGGTGAATGCGGCCTTGGCGCCTGGAAAATCCAGCATCTGGCCCCGAAATATCACAGATTTTCAACCTCCATCGCCATGGAATTCGCGAACCTGATCGTCGGGGCGATGATCGGCCCTGGAGTTGACCGCCTGATCCGCCGCTGCTGCATCCGTGCCGTGCCGCCTCCGCCGCGAATTGGATTCGTAGAGCGATCGATAGCTCCCGGAAGCGCGGAGGAAGCGCTTTGGCGCTCCGCGGAGGAGGAGAGGGAGAAGTCCCATTTTCTTGTTGGATCATACAAAACCACGAGGTGTCATCTCTATCAGGTATATTCCAAGGCTATAAAACCGATTCGGTCAGGTATATTCCAAGAATGTAAGGAAGATTCGATTTAGGTCAGGGCAATATTTTAAGGGCTCTTGAGGGATGGCGCTAGCAGGGGCGTGGCGCCGGGCATCCGCAGTAGCGGCATCGTCCATCCCGGCCTCTCGCGCGTCCCCAGTCGTAGCGCCAGGCTACGGCGCATCAGATCCATGGCGGATTCCAGCTGCATTTGGGGTTTTGGGGCGGCGGGGCATGGCCGATCTCCTCCCCGTCCAGGTCCGGCAGCCGGGCGACTCCCTGCCGCGCGTCGACACGCGCATCGTGACGGCCATCGCGGTGGACGAGGACGGGCGGCGCCACACGGTGCGCGCGCTCGCAGGTCAGTCGCTGTTTAGGGCTCTTGTGAATGCAGGGCTGCGCCTCCACTTGTCACACCAGCTCGACACTTCGTGCTATGGCTACGTGTGCCGTGTGAGCATCAGCGACGAGTGGAGGGCGCGGATCCCCGAGCCGACCGAGGACGAGCTTCACGTCCTCAAGCACCACTTCACGCCGCCCGACTTCGATCCCTCCATCCGGTGCAGCTGCAAGATCAAGCTCAGCGACAAGATCAATGGCATCGTGGTCGCGCTCGTCCCCGAGAAGTGCTGGGATTTCACTTGAGAGGAGAGAATGTGGGTTGTGAAGGGGTGATCTTCGATGGACAGTGTGCAATAAGCTATAGCAGGTGTCTTTTGCTTCTCTTGCCGGCAAGACCATCGTCCCCAGGCCCGAGATTTTTCATGGGATTAGCTCCTTGCAGCAAATGCCCATGGGGATTTTGTTTCATAGTTGAGGTCACTGTAAAGTCTTGACTTTTATGCAAGATCTAAAACAGAACATATATACATATTATCACTTGGATCTCTCTGAGAAATCTCGTGTTTTAATATTGGACCACCGACATTGTGGATCTTCCACCACGTAAACTTGATGTGAGAATTTTTTATCTGTTTTTTCATAGCTGCTAGCCTATTGGGATCTTTTTTCTAGCTGCAAATACCAAGTGGCGGCAAATTGCTATAGCCTGCCATGGCCGAGTCTTTCCAAGCGCGTACAAACAAAACGACGACCTGGACCATGGCACATGAAGAAGGATAAAGAAGAGGGAGTTACATCAGAGATCGCCAATAAATATTTCTGCGAAACGCAAGTTGGTCACAGCGCGGGCGATAAAGACTGTAACTTAGATCACTGCTGATCGGGCAAGCACTATAGCTAGACTTGAAATCACCGAGAAAGAAAGCTTGAGAAACGAAAGCTTACGAGTAATCGACCAAGGTAAACTATACAACTTGATCGTGCATCGTCTTAAGTTCTTCGTGTCTCTCTTTCGAGTTTCTTATCCAATCCTCTCGGTTGTGTAGGCGCTGAGAAGTTCCAGCCGAAGTTCTTCCCAGATCTACCGCCCGAGATCCAAGGAGAGCCATGGTTTCGTCCAAGAAGCTCTTCCCCCGCTTCGTGACCCTGAAAGGCGACAATGGTCAGCTCCTCACAGTGCACGCTCTGAATGGAGTACCGTACCTCACATTTACATCCCTGGAGCCGTCGCGGCTGGCTACTCACGAGATCATCTGCCACAAGGATCTCCCGGACGTGGTGATGATCCGCTCCTCCAACGGCCGCTACTGGAGCCGCAACGAGGATAGCTGGATCGTGGCGAACCGGGACGAGACCCCGGCGTCCTCGGACACGAGCTCCAACTTTAAGATCGTCCGGGTGAGTAGCAGCAGTAGCAGCAGCACGGTGGCGCTGCAATCCTTGGCGGACGGAAGCTACTTGCGATGGTTCTCGCAGTCGCAGCTCCCGCACGGCTGCAACGCGGTCGGGAGTTCGTGCGACGTCCACACTCACCTCGAGCTCTGCGATGCGTCCGAGACGGCGCTGGTTCTCCCGCAGCTGCTCACGCTCAAGTCGGACAATGGGCTGTTCCTCGCCGCGCAGTACCAGCGCGACATCAACTGGTTGAGCTTCGCGAGCTCCTCCAAGGGCGAGCTTGCGGCGGCGCACGAAGTAGTGCTGCTGCCAAACGGGAACGCGATGATCCAGAACGTCAAGAGCGGCAAGTTCTGGCGGGTGAGCTGCGTCAACTGGGCGTGGGCGGACGTGGATCGCTCGCACGCGCTGACGAACACCGCGTGCCACTTCGAGCCCGTGAAGGTGAGCGCCACCGAGGTGGCGCTCAAGTCGGCCTTCTCGGGGCGGTTCCTCAAGCGCTACACCGAGTACTGGAAGGACGCGCTGTGCGGGCTGGCGTGCGGGATGAACGATCCGGCGACGCGGTTCGTGGTCGGGGGCGCGGTGGCGTCGCAGAGTTTGGAGGAGATCGCGTACTCGCTCAAGATGGCGGAGGTGGTGGAGGTGAAGAGCGTGGAGGTGGCGAGCGGGGTGGCGACGAACAGCGAGCAGAAGCCGTGCGATGTGGTGGTGCAAGTGAAGTTTTCGTTATCGGTGTCGCGGAGGCACCGGTGGTCGGACTCGTCCACTTTCGTGGAGGCGTGCCCGAGGACTAGCTTCACGGTGGGGGTGCCCGAGGTGACGTCCGCGGAGGGGAGCATCACGGTTGGCGCCGCGCAGTGTTTCAAGACGAGGATGTGCGCCGTGGTGGAGGAGGCTGTGCAGTTCCAGTCGACTTACACTGTCAAGAGTGTGGAGCCCGGGGAAGAGGTATGGATCTTGGTTTTTCTTCTTGTTCTCGCGAGAGTTCTTGAGAAGTTTTCCTTGTTTCATCGCATCTGTAGGCTTGACTTCCTTAGATTGCTTCTTTGTCTTGGTTGCATCGCTTCTGAGGCTCAAGTTCTTTCTTTTTATGCTTGATCTTCCTCTTCGTTGCATCGCGTTTGTCTTGTGATCAATGTATGGTTCTTTCTCTTCCTTTCTTCGTCTTTTGGTTTTTCTTCTTGTTCCTGCGGGATTTCTTGAGAAGTTTCCTTTGTTTCATCGCAGAGTTCCTTAGAGTGCTAATACTTTCTTTCTTCCCTTTCTCTTATGCTTTTTTTTTGTTGTTCTTGGCGAGATTTCTTGAGATGTTTCATCGCAGATCTCGTTTTATTGCTTCTTTCTTTTGGTTCCATCGCATTCTGAGGCTCAACTTCTTGTTTTGGTTGCTTTTGCATCGCATCTGCTTGATTTCTTCTTCTTCCTCGTTGCATCGCTTCTCATCAAGCGATTCTGGAAAGTTTCGTTTCTATTCTCCTCTGTTCATTGTTTGGAATCTCTTAATTTTCTTTGCTGCTCGGATTGCTTCTCTAGATTCCAGGATTGAATCACTGGATGTTTTCCCTTTTTCTTCCAGTAGTCACGCTCAGATGCTTCTCGTCTTCTCCTCGTCGTCTCTCATGTGATTGTTCTTTTAGACTCTTCCACCTTTCGCTTTGCCCTTATATCTTTTCCTTTGTACGTGACTCGATTCCAGCTTTTCTGTACTACTCTCTTTTCCATAGTGGCTTCCTTTGAGCTCTTTCCAATCGATGCGATTGCGATTGCTCTCACAGTCTCGCTAATGCTTTCGATTCCTCGCAGGTGACTGTCAAGCTGCAATGCAGCCAAGGGAAATGCCGCGTCCCCTTCACCTACAGCGCCAAGCAAACCCGGCTGGATGGATTCGTGCTCCCCACGATCCAGTGCGTGGATGGCTTCTTCGAGGGCGTGAGCGTGTTTGACACCAAGGCCGTGGTGACAAGCGCGCACCGCAAGACGCCCACTTACTTGCCCGTGTGCTGCTCCTTCGCCTCCACCGCCGCTGGCCGACGCCGCATCCCGGCAGCTCTGTGATCGGACGGCCGGATTTCGCTGGCCGGATTTAAATGTTTGAATTGCGCTCCATCCTGGCCGTTTAAAGGATGTATCCTTTAGAGGATCCAAGAAAACTAGAGAATGAATTATCTTCTTCATTGTATTGTTTCCATCCTTGTTTACTTGTTTGATTTTCTCGCGAGCAGCGAGCACGATCCAAAGGGAAATAGATCTAGACTTAGATTGGGCGCTGTCTATTCACTCCTTTTGGTTGCTCTGCTTGCTTGCAGAGCTCATGTGATGAATTGTTCTTTTTTCTCTTTGTTCTTTTGGATTCTTCTTCTTCGTTTCCATGACTCCGTACTGACTCTCTCTCTCTCTCTCTCTCTCTCTCTCTCTCTCTCTCTAAGCAGCCAAGGCAAATGCCAGATCCTCTTCAATCTAGTCCGCAAAGCCCAATGGGCGATCGACATCCTCTGTGATTGGACGGCAGGGATCCAAATATTTGAAATTTATGCTGCATCTTGGCCGTTGATTTGAATTCGAGCCCTTGGCGGGAATTAGGGCGTGGGAGCTTTCTCAATCTATGAAGTACCAATGAAACAGAGTTGGATCATCACTGACAGCTTGTCCAAAGCTTTTCAATCTAGCAACACCAGTAAGATTCTCTGGACGATTTCGAGTTGCTATATGGATTCCAATCCCAAGACTTTCATCAACTTGTCCAAATTCCAGAGGAGCTCAGAAGTGAAAACGAGGAAAGACAAATTTGGAAGAGAAGAAAGCATCAATCGCAAACAGTCAAGAGCTAGGCTGAGCTGGTGGTATATGTTACAAAAAGCACCCCAAAAAAATTAATCCCCGTCCATGATCTCCATCCGCCCATGATCTCCTACTTGCTCGCCTTGGTTCTGGCCTTCTTCTTTGGCGATCCAGCGCTAGACGCCTTCGTCTTCCTGCTTCCCCCCTTGGCCGAAGAAGCTTTCGCCGGCGATGGCGATGACGATGGCGACTGCGCTTTCGATCTCGGCGACTTGCCCCGGGACGGCGATGGCGATGGCGATTTCGCCGCCTTCTTCGCTGCCACTGCCTTCGCTGCCTTGACTGTCCGCGCTGCCTTGGCCTCTTTACCTCCCTTGGTCACCTTTGGTTTCGCAGTAGTAGTAGCAGCAGTGCCCGTGGTAGCGCTAGCTTTCTTCTTCTTACTCTCGGTCTCGGTAGTGTCGCTGGCCTTGGCTGGCGCCTTGGACGCCGCACTGTTGCTGCTCTTGCTGGCCTGCTTGAGCTCCTGGGACAGCTTGTACGAGCCCTTCACCTTGACCAGATTCTCCTGCTTTATCTGCTTCTTGAGCTGGACCGACAGTAGCTTCCGAAAGTTCTCCGGGAGATCCTTCTCGTACCTCTCCTCGATGAACTTGGCGATGGCGGGCTGGCTGGACCCCGTCCTGTCCTTGAGCGTCGAGATGGCTTCCGTGATCATCTGGGAGAAAACAGACCGCCTCGCGTCAGAACATACATCTATCTACATTCCCAAAACGAAAACAAGAGAAAAAGCAAAACAGGGGAGAGAGTGAAAGTACCTGGAGGTAAGGCGGATGCGTCATAGGCGCCCTCGAGCCCTTCTTGGGTGGAGAAGAGGCCGCAGGAGCAGGTTTCGGGGACGAGCTCTTTCTCGTTGTCCTCGTTGTCGTGGACTTTGCCTTCGTTGATGGGACCTTCTCCTTCTTCGCCTTTTCCTTCGCAGGAGCTTTAGCCGCAGCAGTGGCGGGCGCCTTCTTGCCAGCCTTGGCCGCCATCTCCTGCACGCGAAAAAACAACCGCAACAAGAAGATTATCCAACCCTAAGCAACCCAGAGCAGCACTCACCAAGAAGCGAACTTGGTCGAAGCGATGAGATGACCCTCCTCGTAAAAACAACCCCACCGAAAAAGGATATAGCCTCGGAGCTTATTCTGTAAAAGCAACTACTTTCCCCAGGCCACAAAACCACTTCTGATCGAATCCCTCCGCGGATAATCCAACCACAAGTTAACGGCCTGCCTCCGTCCCCCGCCTATCTATCTATCTGAAGATCTCTAAACCGATCGATCGAATCCCCTCCCTGTACGACGAGCTCCCTGAACTATCTAGCACGTCCACGAGTTAGACCTGGTAAGGTACGGCTTGGTCTTCTTGTCTTCCTCCAGTGACACCATCCCCAAGTGCGAAGGATCCTCCAGCATCATTTTGGCAACCAGATACCCCGCAATTGACCATGTCTGGAGCTTCCTGGCCTGCTTGCCGATGTAGCGACCTGTCTTTCCGTCGTAGTACTCCGGCCACCCATCCTTGCTGAGCCTGGCCTCGGCGATCTCAATGGCCCTGCGAGCTATCTGGGGTCGCCCCGTCTTGATGCAAGCCGCCGTCAGCAGCCACAGGAGCACTGGACAATGCCCACATGAATTAGAACTTTGGAAGTCACAAATGTAGCAGCAGAGGCAAAGTACCTGGCCACGAGCCGCCGTTGTGATAGCTCCATCGAGTGTTCTTGGGATCACAGCCGGTCACAATCTTCCACTCGTGTCCTTCCAGTGCCGGATACGTTACCTTAAGTGGCATCTCCCCAATGAGATCGTCCCAGCGCTCCTCGATGAGGTCCATGATCGCGGTGGCCTGCTCCGGCGTTGTCAGCGACGAGAGGATGGCCACGCAGTTTCCAATCGTGAACCACCGAAAGTCCATCCTCGCCGGGCTCACATTCCCAATGAAGTAGCCACCTTTCATGGGCATGAAGTCGAACACCCAGTCGGGTATGGAGTCGGGGATCACGTTAAACTTGTTCACCGCTGTGTGCGAGTACTCCTCTGTTTTGTAGCGATAGATGTTGTTGAGCTGCTGGAAGTCGAGCCAAAAGTACGAGCGGAGATGGTATCGCAGGGCATGGAGCCTCTTGTCAATCCTCTCGATGAACTCTTTACCGCCAGCTTCCGGCTTGAGCAAGAACTTTGCGCAGCGGAGAGCCATAAAGAACAGCGCCTGGATCTCAATCGGGTACCCGTAGATTCCCTGCAAGAAGCCACAAACTCAGAACAAAGACCTCAATCGAAACTCCTTACCATCCGGCGATCGATCATGCAGCAGCCATCGGCACAGAGTAGAGTCGGGAAGGTGTCGAATCCTTCCGAGAGGCACAAGGTGAGGATCAATCGTATCCCTCGCTGGCAGTCGGGATCGTCGGAAAGGTTGTGATCGCCGGTGGCCTTGACATAGGCACGGAGGAGAATGATCCACCAGAAGCCCGAGTCGACGGGAGCGACTCTCCCAATCGCGCTCTCGCCAAAGTCGGCGATCATCGTGTCGGTCCTGCTGGGATCATGCAATACCTTGAAGCTCGCCGGCATTACGCCCTCGCCGAGCGTGAAGCAGTCGATTCGCTTCTCCCACGCTTGCAGCCGCAATGTCTTCATCAGGAAGTTCTTCGCAATCTCGGGTTCGCCATTCATGATGAAAGCGAGGGCGCTGGGCACGAAATCTCTCACGAAAACCTGGAATGCGGCCCGTAATATCAATCGCGCATGCGAAATCTTGCAAGAACAGGCAAGAGAAAGAACCGACCTGGTTATAGTTGAGGCTTTCCTCCACCGGATCGTTGGCGGCGATTGTCCCGATCGGCTTGTCGCGGAAATACACCAAAGATCGCCGGAGCTGCTCCCATGCATCGATCATCGCGGGATTGGGATCCAGCAGCGACCGCGGCGTGTTGGAGGCCGAACGGAACCAATTCATGGAGAAATTCTCACCGATCTCGTGCCGCGAGGGCGGCAGAGGAGAAATGCCGGGCGAAACTAGGTCACTGAGCGTGCGCTCGTCCAGCGACCGCTGCGTCTCGATCGGCCGGGGCTTGAGCGCCACAAGCTTGGAGAAATCGATGTCGCTGATGAGATCGCACAGGTGCGCATCGCCATTTCTTGACGCCGTATCGGATGGATCGGCCGCCGAAGCATCGAATCCCAGCGGCATTTTCCCCTCTCTTCGCTCCAAGAATCAAGACGCAGTCCTACAAGCTACACACCGCTGTGTACATTAATACCTTCCCTAAAATTTTTCTTTTACCAAAGGTAGCCCCCACTCACGCGAAGAACTTCTCTTTTTCCATAGCTCTCAGGCTTTTTTGGCCAAGAGAGCGATCACCAGGCGTCCACGTCGGCCCCTCACGTGCCACGTAGGTCCCAATTTGCTAGAGAATATGCCCGCTCCCGAATATCCCGGTACTCGCGAGCCAGAGAATATTCGCACCAAGACCCAAAAACAAAAATAAAATGGTTTTTCTCCCTGCGACTCTCCCAGATTCCCAAAGATTCCTTTGCCACTTTGTTTCATCTCATCAGTGTCTCACAATCGCTGTGTGTGCTATGTTCAAGGAGGGATGAGATGTGAAACAAAAAGGCCTACTTTTCTCTCCACCGAAGCCCCCACCACCGGAAAAAAAAAATCTCACCAATGTCGGGAAGGATACACGCACAGTGTGCTGTTGTGCCAGCCTGGGAGAAAGGCAAACAAGCACCGCTGAGCCCTGTGATAGAGATCACCAAAAATAAAAGCTCGAAAGCTATACCTTCCAGGTAATCGCCGATCTTTAGCGCAAAGATGGTCGAGGTGAGCGAGGCCTGACTGGGGTCTTCGACGGGCTCACCCTGTAAGAGACGTATCGGGAGTTTGTAAGAAAGAACAATCGGTGATCGAGCGAGTGTCTTTACCGAATTGGTAGCGAGCCAAGAATTGCACCGCTGCAATTCAACGCAGCCATAGCGCTCTCAGCCTGCGAAAGAGGTTGTGATCGTAAGCAACGAGCTCCCAAGGACCAAATCTATTCGCTCACCAGTGCGAACTCAACAAACGCTATTCGAGTAGAATGATGGTAGTCGCCCAGCAATCTCAAGCGCGACACCTGGACGAAGAGAACCAAAGAGTCGTAAAATGCGCAAACACGAAAGGAGAGAGACTCGAAAATGCTTCTTACCTCACCACAAAGTGACTCGAAAAATAGCTTCACATCGGATTGGGAGACCTGGAATAAAATCTTCCGTGTCATAGATCGACGCTGGACACAACCTCGAAAGTCACCTTCTTGTCGATATTCGTGCAGTATATGGTACGTGCGCACATCTGCCGCTCATCCTCTGACTGGAAGTTAAAATACAAACACCCGAGCAAAATATGTGAGAAAGAGCTTCGCGTAAAAGTCAAAAAGTAGCTCACCCGAGGTAGAAAAGTCGGGTTCACTGGAACAATGGCCGTCTTAGAGGGCAAAACTCGAACTGGATAAAATCCGAGCATAGTTCCTGCGAGATTAAGTGCTTGGCGAGCACCCTCTGATCAATGGTGTGTCATCAACATCAACATGTAAGAAAAATGGACAACAGGAGCAACCGATCTTACCTTCATCTGTGAATTCCACAAAGGCAAATCTCAGAACCGAATTGGGATCACCGCAAACACGGCAGTCAATAACCTGGAGTTGCAAAAGAAGAATAAGAATTCAAAATCAGTAGAACCACAAACCGAAAATACTATCGTGTACGCAATTATCACCTGGCCACAATTGATAAACAATGCTGCCAATTGCTCCTCGGTAACCTGGTAGCATCAAACGTAAGATCCACATGCATGAAGAGAAAAAACGAGGATGAAGAGAAGGAAACCAACCTGCTGATCAATATCTGAGACATAGACAGTCCGCCGGATACACTCTTCTCGCTGCGCTTTGCTTTGCCTATTGTTATATCTCTTCTTCCCTGTGTTGTATCCGTTTTGCTGCACAAAGAATAAACCAAGTTTGCGATCAGATCCGGCAAAAAAAAGAAAAAGTAGCAAGCACAAAGAAAGCCTTGGTCTCAAGCAGAACCTCTAGATCACCTTGCGTTGTTGCTGCAGTGGTTGCTGCTGCTGCAGCTGCTGCTGTTGATGGTTAATTTGCTTGGATAGGAGCTCCTTGGAAAGCGCGGGGTCTCCACGAGAAGGTGGAACAAACTCCTTGGCCAGGGGGTTGAGCTTCTTGAGCAAATCTTCCAGCTCCCTCATACTGTCATTACTAGCGTTACTCCGGCCGGAATTCTCATCATCCTCCTCGCCTAGCAAGCCGTTGGATCGCTGCGACTGGCCGACCTGGACAGACAAGCCGATGAGCGACGGTAGAGAGCGCCCGAGCCAGCGGGAGGAATCGAGAGCGAGAGAAATCGAGCGAAATCGGGTCGAAATCTTACCTCGTACAGCTGCTCCGGGGATGAATCCATGCCGCCAAAGCTGCTAGTAGTGCCGCCGGGGCCGCCGCCCTGTGGAGAAGACCCGGTCGCGGCTCCCAGTCCCAGTCCTACCGATCCATCCATCCCTGCATTGTCTGCAACCGCCATCATCGCGCGCCGGCGCACCAATCCGAGCTCTCACCAGCGAGATCCAGCCATCGCTGGACCAGATCGTCGTCGTCTCCCCCCGGCTCTCTCAAAAACCTAGAAACACACAAAAGCCCTAAGCTCCCTTGGATCCAGCGAGGAAAGCATGTAAGAGAGAGGGGAGGGAAGAGAGAGAGAGAGAGGAACAGAAGAGGGAGAAGACCTAAGGGGTGTGTCCTCTAATCGTAGCTAAGTACGCCCAAGGGTAGAGCGATCGCTCACGGCTCAAGGGCACACCAACGCAGCCGGCGAGCGTTTTTCTTGGCCGCGGGCGGAGAGATCGCCCGCGCCATAGCTATAGCAGCGCTGGGCTGGCCTCTTTTGGACGGCTACGAAACATTGACCTAATTTTCGCTGCATTTTGGTGGATTTCGTTCTCTCTTTCTTTTTTTATAATTTCTGCCTCTTTTTCTTTTTTTCCGGGCAATCATCACCGTACAATGTATAGCTGGTTAGTCTTTACGCTGGTAATTTAATCCGGAACCTAATTAATCCGGGTGGGGGATTTTGCAAAGTCCACGCCATGCTCCCCCGTCTTTTAGGTGGGCCAAATAAAATCTCATTGGCCATCTTTCCACGTTTTCACATGCTTTGTTCTAGTTTGGGCCATGTCTCAATTTTCTGGATTGGGCCACTTATTATGACCACGCTCTAGGGTTCCTTCTCAGCGTCGTCTTCTAGGGTTTGGCCGGGGAGGAGGGGCTTTTGGCGCAGCAATCTCGCGGCGAATTCGCTCATTCCATCCCCGAATTCGCATTCTCAGGTACCTCGCGGCCTCTCAATTCAGCTCCTCCGTGCCTCTTTTGCTCGCATTTTCTTTCCTCCTGCATGCTCTGCCTGGCCATTCCTAGGAAGGGTTTTGCTGCGCGCGGGGGGCGTGGGTAAGACTAGAAATCCATTGGCGTAGCTGAAATTCACGCGTAGGTTTGGTTACCAGCATTTTGTTTTCGTTTTTTGCGCATTTTGGTGGAATGGTTTATTTGGTCCATAACTTAACTGTGAAGGTGCTGATTGGTGGTTTGTGCCCGTGTCTTTGATCTCGATTTCATCGCAAAAAAACGAACTTTAGTTTTTTTCATGAATGCTTGAAGGCCAAAGCCTACTGTTCACTGTTCACTGTCTAGAACGGCCTTGAAGCTCTTCCTTTCATTCTTCTTTTACATTTTCATTGCTCTCAAATGGCCTTAACAGCAAATTTCTCTCTCTCCAGCCCTTTCTGTTGTCCAGTTTTTACTCCTCTTGATGCCCTTCGTCTGCGGATGCTCCCTTCTATTCCTTGTCCACAGCTCCACTACAAGCTTTTAGGTGAGCAGCTGCTTACTGCTACTGCCGAGGAGCGGGAGTGGACATGTCGGACGCCTCAGCGTCGCCAGAGGTCCACGACGACGAGAGAATTGACATAGACGGGGACGTTGAGCCAGAGGATGTTATAGATGACGAGACCGACGGCATTGTTGAGGAAGAGAAGGCCGACCAGGAAGGTCTCGACTTGGACATGAACGAAGACGAGGGTGGCGAAGATGAGGCCTATACCACAGATCACGAAAATGGGCTGCAAAATGGAGAGAATGCAAGCGCTGATCTGGGAGAGAGCGTTGATGTGACGATTCCAGAGGACGAAGTGGAGAAGAAGCCAGAAGAAACGCACAGGGATATGAAGGTTGACGACGACGAGGAGACAAAGAGCCTCCTCTCACGTCCTCCCCATGGCTCGGAAGTTTTTATCGGAGGTGTCACCCGTGACACGAACGAGGATGATCTCCGTGAGCTGTGCAGTCCGTGCGGTGAAATTTTCGAGGTACATGGATTCAAATTTGAACTGTTTTATGACATTTTTATTGTCAGGTCCGGATTCTCAAGGACAAGGAGACTGGAAACAATAAAGGCTATGCGTTTGTCACGTATACAAATCGCGAGACCGCCGAAAAGGCCATAGAAACATTGGCCAATTCGGAGTTGAAGGTGAGTATTCGACGTTAATTTGTCAGAACTTTGTTTGATTTGGTTGTGTTTCAGGGACGAAAGCTACGGTTTTCTCATTCACAGGCAAAGCACAGACTGTTCATTGGTAATATACCCAAGTCTTGGGATACTCCTGAACTGGAAAAGATCTTGGCGGAAGAGGGCCCTGGCGTTGAGGGTGTCGAGCTTTTGAAGGTACGCAACTATGCCACATTTAGTGTAGCAACGTGTTTCATTAAATGCAGGACCCTCGTAATCCTGGCAAGAATCGAGGTTTTGCCTTTGTCGAGTACTACAACCATGCGTGTGCCGATCACGCCAGAAAATTAATGTCGAGGTCATCGTTTCGTCTTGGAAACAACGTACCCACGGTGAGCTGGGCGGATCCCCGTACAGGGGCGGAACCTGCTGCCACCTCACAGGTGAACGCTAAATGCTGATAGCGGCGCGAAGACTGATTTTATTTTTCTTTCATGTCCTCGCAGATCAAAGTCGTCTACGTTCGCAACCTGCCTGAGGCTGTGACCGAGGAGCAACTGAGAGGCTTGTTCGAGCATCACGGTGAGATCACCAAGGTGGTGCTGCCTCAATCGAAGCCCGGCCAGCCCAAGAGAGATTTTGGATTTGTCCATTTTGCGGACCGCAATGACGCGCTAAAGGCGATAGAGAAGACAGAGAAATACGAGCTAGAAGGTATGCTCAGCCTTATTATATGTTTCCTTGCTTGCAGGCTAAAGTTTTCTTAACTTGGAACTACCAGGTCGTGTTCTAGAATCGTCTCTCGCAAAGCCTCCCGTCGAGAAGAAGGGGATGGACCAGCCTCTAGCTCCTCAGAGACTGGGAATTCTCTCTCAGTTGCAACCCAGAACAGCCGCCTACAGCTATCCAGTTGACATCTACAACAACATAGGAACTGGAGGCGGCTATGGACAAAACAGATACAACCAGGTGATCACACGCTTCTTCTTTCTGTTCTTTCTCACAAGTTTCTCCTCGCTTTCCAGCCTTTGATCTATGGACGCGGGCCTCCTCCCGCTGGTATGACAATGGTTCCAATCCAACTTCCAGATGGCCGGCTTGGCTATGTTCTGTAAGTAGCTTGTTTCAAGTTTCGCGCTTAGAGCTAAGATTTGGTGTGCTGCGTAGGCAACAACCTGGGATCCAACAACAGGGATCACAATTTGGCCGGGGTGTACTGTCATCGTCGTATAGAAGTAGCAGTAACAACGCGGGCTCTGGTGGCAGCAGCTCGAGGCGCTATCGGCCATACTGAGTGAGTGACACTTACACATATATGTTTGGGATCATCAGCAACAGGAGCTCACTTTTGCTCCATGGCTGTTCTTCCTTTTCGCTCATTTCAGGCTTACTAGATTTCCAGGCCTGATGCTTGAACAGGTGCGTAGCTAAAATGTATTTACGTCTCGTGAGTTTTTCCCAAACCGTTTAATAAGAAAGTGCTAAAGGTGAAGGAGAAAACTGTTGATTGTACTTCTGATGGATGTTTCACATCCAAATGCAAAAACGTCACTTCACCTGTTCACTGCGAGATTCTTATGCTTTTAGCTGGGTGCTAATGATCTTAAACATGTATTAATAATAATCTGATCTCGCGGCCGGGAGGAATGTTTTACGGCCTCTAAAACTCATCTGAAATGACCTCCGATTCCTCGATGTCCTTGACCAGGTCCCACAGTTTCAGTTTGAGCCCGGTGACAGGCTTCTCCTTGAAGAACACGTCCCCCCAGGAAGTGGCAGGCTCCTCCTCGATCACAGAGAAAGCCACGTAAAGGATCTGCTTCGCCTCCATCAACACCGCACCAGCATGCGGCTTTCCGTCAACCACAACGGATTTCGGGGAAGCATTCATTTTCCCCGTTGCTGAAACGCAACTCTCCCAGGCTATTTCCAGTTTACCATCGAGGCCGTCTCCCCCGTGCCATATCTCCTGGCTCGCGTTCCGCTGCATACTACACACCACTGCCCACTCCCCACAGGCCATCAGAGCATCAACCTCGCACTCAACGTCCGGAATAACATTGCCCAGCCTTGGCGCACTGCAGGACTTCGTCCACCTTCATATTCGGCAGCTAGTTGAGGAAGAAGAAGGTTCTCCGCTCTGACCATGGCTTGAAACAGATACCCCTCTGTCATTGTCACCTGTTGCTCAGTTACATTGGGAACCACTTGACCACGTAGATCGACGCATAGCAACAACTGCGGATCCAGAAAGTCACACCCGGGGGGCTTGGAATTGGGACGGGACCTGAGAATGTTTGCTCACTGCAGCTCACCCAGAGTATAGTCATCCACAGCCTCGGTAAGCGAATGATTGGCTACAATCCTTCTAACTCCGACCAGTTTGCTTCCTGATGGACCTGAAACCTCGTCCACGCCATGGTATAGTGTATCCTGGAACGTGCGGCCCCCTGCATAATCAGCAAAGTTGTAGCCGCATACTAGGAACTTCCGGATGAAAGCTTCAGGATCCCATAACTCTTGCCGCGATTTCATGGCTCCAGCACTCCGACTGATGTAATGCATTCCCAATACAACCTCCATGCTTGGATCTGGAAGTTTAGCCCGAGAGAGTAAGCCTGATAACTGTGCGCCTTTATCGCGCACGTCTATTTCTCTCGAGAACCGAGAATGCCACGGTTCCGTCTTCCACAATCAGCTTATAGGCCATAACCAGATCTTATCTTGATGTATGTTCGGAAACTCGTCAATCCCCATAAAAGACTGTAACAAAACTATCTCGGCTTCTTGAAGGAAAGTCCTGCTCCCCTGAATGATAGAATACCACCCTGTCCTTCACACCACTCTTCTCAAACCGAAGACGTAGCATTTCCGCTGCCAAAGCACAAGTTTTACCCTGTCTCCTCCTCCCTGATAACACCACAACTTTGGCCCCCCAGTCTGCTTTATCTGCTAAAACTTCCCTGTAATCCATTCGCCTCAATCTCATATACAACAGCCTCTACAATGTTCTCTGGGAAGTACTCGCAATATGGTACGTGAAAAACTACTCCAGCTTTTTTGTATTTCGATAAGTCACTCTCAACTTTTCAAGGATTTCTCTACAATGACATTGCCTGTTGCGGCCTTGACAACTACAATGGCTCCCTCCCTTGCTTGCCAAACGTTCCAGTGTGCAAGGACGCCGCACAGTAGTATCCCACAGGCTCCACTTACAAGCTCATCGCAGACAAGCTATGGTCTGGAAACATCAACGAAAGCTATCCCATCAACGTGAAAACTCTCCTCGGCCTTTGATCAATAAAGCGTATTATTTATCGGTTTATGTTATTTTGGTTGTGTTAGTCGACTATAAAAACCCTTTTAGCATTAACACAAATCAGGGTTTGCGCAAAAGGGGCATGGATAGTTTTGTGAGCAAAGTGCACAGTGGGATGCGGATTGAGAGGGAGCTCATCATCGATAACGATATACTCATGAGGGACGAGGATCAGAAGAAAGATAGGGAGGTAACTCTCAAGAAGAGAGGACGCGACGAGAACGAAGAAGCCAAAGGTGGGAAGGTTATGATCAAGAGGACCAAAATGGACCAACAGCTCCAAGACAAGGAAATCAAGGGGGAGCAAGAGGACCCTAAGGCTTGCTCTAGGGGTCCGATCATCGTCAAGATCAAACTCAATCCACCAAATAGTGTTCCTAATCCGGCAAAAGTAGAAGCCACTCGCAAGATCACGAGCAAGAAGCCCATGAGGAGGGAGGTCAAGGCCAAGATGCCCATGAGGAGGAAGGTCAAATCCAAGGTGACTAAGCAATTAGAGACAAGTATGACAATGAAGATTGAGTGTGAGCCCGTCAACAAACTTAAGGGCGGCAACAAGGTGGCAGTGCACGCTAACATGGGACGGGAGGCACCAGCTCAGTTCCTGAGCTTCAGTGACGCACCTAGAACCACTGCCCCAAAGGTCCAGTGGAATCCATTGCGGCGTGTAGCCACTGTTTGATCGATCAACTTCTGTAAAACTTAAACTTAAGAAAAAGAAAAGGATTTTTCATTTCAATGTTCCCATGACATTCTCTTCTGATACTAAAGACATCCAAGAGGGTTTGTGCCTCGAAGAAAATGCAAATCTTCCAATTTGCCAAGTCTCTCAAGCACGTCAAGACAGCCAAGATCTCAAATGCTTGGCTCAATGACATGGTCCTACTTCACAAACGTAAGTTCTGTAGTTCTCTGATTTTTAAAATTCCTAACATCACATCCATTGCATCCATGGCCCAAGAGATGGATTGTGAGTACACACCACTTTTAATTCTTCTCTCTTATTTGATTGTGTGTATGTAGGCAAAGAGCTCTGGTAATAAACCCTAAATTTTGTATATCTGGGAGATTTAGTCAATGCTCAAGCATCCATTTGTGTTGCTAGCAAAAAATATTAGTATGAAGTCCCACTTTAATGATTTGTGTATATAATTTGTAGATACATTTATAGTATAATATTTTCCTAAAATCCTAAATTAGAAAATTTATATAATTTTTATTTTAAATAATTTTTTTTATATATTTAGTATTGTAAAGTCTGTAAATATATGTATGTATATACATGTATTACTCTGCCTATGTAATATGCTAATTATAGTTCTTAATCAGTGTAGCAGCTAATCATTTGTAAATGCTATAGTAAAACTTTATTGATGTTAATATCCTCCTTAACAAACAGCCTCATTAAGCCAAAAAGGAACTAAATTTAAAAAATGAATTTATCAATCTTACCATTATAGAAACTAACTATTTCATGTGAGGTGAATTGATTATCTACCCATACTATAGTCCTACAAGAGATTCCTAAATACCCATGAAAATAAAATTTCAATATAAAAAGGCATATTACAATTTTAATAGCTACAAATCAATAAAAATACAACTTGCTTCAATATTATATATAGTGCATTTTATAATCTCTCTTCTTTCAGGTCAATTGGAAAAATTACTGAGATTTATTGACTATTTTTTATTCCCATTAATTCTCCAAAGATTCCAAGATGTGGTGATAATATATCAAAATCTCATATTCAACCTAATATTTTAAATAATTAATTTTTTTACTTTAACTCTTTTATTATTAATGTATTTACTATTTATTGACTAAAAAGTATTAGAAATTGAACCCCAAACCTCAACTCATAGAATTTGAACTATACACATAAATGGGTATATGAGATTAGTATACCCAAATTAAATTTCTAAATTAGCTTAGGATTGAATCAAATTAATTTTTAAAGCCTATATAAAAGTAGACTTTTAAAGACTATATTCATAGTGTTCCACAAATTTATTTTTTATTCTCTATTATTTTAGTATTTTATTAGTAATTTCATTGTCTTATCTTCTCTTGACAACAAGCTCCTAAAAATTTGAACACTCTAATAAAAATAGATCCTCTTCTTTAACTCCAATATCAAATTTCTATACTCTGTATAAGTTATATGAAGTGTTGGAGAAATCCATTATAGTACTTCATTCACCAAGCACTAACAACAACTTTTTGGTTTAAAGCCAAAGATTGGTATGCCAAAAAAGTTTGATAATACATGGTTTGAGTTCTATGGCTTCCTTAATTAAGACAAGTTTTGAATTGCTATGCAATTTAGCAAATATTCCACTCCAACTTTTTGTATGGGCCTGATTAAATCTCTTTTTATTAAGATGCCTCTTTTTTTATTTTCCACCCTTTTTAGAAAGAGTGATTATATTTTTCAAGATTTCAATCCCTTTATTTAACACTTCACAAGTGGTGTTAAGGCAAACTTTATTCATTTATTCATTATTCATTTATTCATATTTTCTCATGGCATTCTCCTTCAACCAACTCAAAATCCAACTTATGCTAAGTTGACAAAGCTCCTTTACACTCATCATAGAGGTGACAAAAATTAGGATTAATTTCAAATTTTGCTAAGTTTGTAGCAATATTATTTCTATCCCAAAGACTTTTATTGTCTTCAATCTTTCTTAGTTTGACATATAACTTTATAGTGGATTGGAAGTGATGTGATATTGATCTTTCTCTTCTTTTGTTTATTCAATCTACAATTCTTACATTTCTTTATATGAGTTTTAAGATGCTACCTGTTAGGATTTTGATTCTGTCTTCAGAATATAAGTAATTAAATTTTCTATTTTACTTTAATCACTTAACCACACCAATGATCACTTGGAGAAGTCTCACTCACAACTTCTATAAGTCCTCCTCCCAATTAAAAAGGGGCTTCAAGCCACCTTACATTTGCACTTTGTCCAATACTTTATATCTCTAATCCCACTTTAAACACCCAAAGGTACCACTAACATACTAACCTCTTACTCTAAAGCCATATCTATACTCATTATCTTAATAAAAGTTTAATACCATTTGTATTATGATCTCATCCCTCAAAGACTAGACCATTATCCATGAGTAGTCACCTTATAACTACTCATTAGCATCTTTAGAATGCCCTAAGATATAAGGAAACACCATCCCCTAATATCCTTTTTTGATCCTATTAAGTCCTTCTTTGTCTA